TGTATTTTAGAAGAAAACTCTTATTAAAGCCAGTATTTGGTTGAAATACTTTGATTTAGGTTAATTCCCAACTTAAAATTGAGCCAAATCGATTGAACATATCACAAATTGCTTTATTTCAGCCTAAAATTAAGATTGAAGCAATTATTTTAATAAAAAACATTAATTTTGAATTAATTCTGTAGTAAAATCGAGCAAAGTTGGATTGAAAATAGTTCACATTGCTTTATTTTAGCCTAAAATTAAGATTGAAGCAACTATACCTATAATATACATTAGTTTTGAATTAATTCTGTATTAAAATCGAGCAAAATTGGATTGAAAATAGCTCAAATTGCTTTATTTTTTTTAATGCTTCAAAATGCATATAATTCAAGTTTTAATGATTTTTGGAGTAAAATTACTTGAACTGTTTTATAACAACAAGAACTTAAATTTTTATTTTGTCTTTTTTGTGAAGGGATGAACTCGTGTCCTCGCCCCTAATCCACCTCCAGCGCAATGTCGGAGGCCGAGGGCGACTGCAAGGAGAACTCGCATCCTCCGGGCGAAAACTGCAAGAAGTCGCCAGTGAAGGGCAAAGAGTGCAAGAACTCGAAGCCGCAGCAGCAGCCCAAAGACCCCACTCGTGTCGTGGTGGTGGCTTTGACTCCCGACCGCCGCCGAGAGACATGGAACAAGAAAGTGGAGTTTCTGCTAGCGGTGGTGGGATTCGCCGTCGACTTGGGCAACGTCTGGAGGTTCCCCTACATCTGCTACCAGAACGGAGGCGGTAAATATAAATCTATTTACATAGAGAGAAAGTTTGAGCCAACCCGTCTAATCTAATGAGATTAGACAGATGCTCCATTCAATGGGAAACTAATGAGAGATTGAATAAGATGAGTCGAAGATGCAAAATCGAGTTTGTGACGGCTGATGAGGAACAAATGGCCCGGTTTTGGCACTGCTTGAGTGGGAAAAATTCAAGTTGGGTTTTGCTTGGCAGGTTTGACGCGGTTATTGCCTGCGATCAATCAGGGATTAAGTAATTCGGAGAAAACTCAAGTTGTTCCTTGAATTTTTTTTTCACTTGAAAACAAGAAATGAAACAGAACTTTTGGTGTTTACTGTCTTCGGAACTCTAGCTAATCGAACAAATTATAAGCAGAGCCGGAGAATTTTGTTTTTCAAAGTTCAAACGTTTGAAAGTTATAAGATAGGTACCTACTTCAAAATTTAAGCAATTTGAACAAAGATTTTTTGTGTCCTTTTTCAAAATTTTGATGTAAATTCAAGCACTTTTTTATCATTAAAAGAAAAGTAGATTTTACACATCGTTGCACATCGTAAATACACATTGCTCTTTCGTTTGATATACAGGGTGTGTCAGAACTCGCGCCTCGGAGAAAAATTTCAAGTAAGTTTAAAAAATTCTTTGTCAAAAAATTTCACATTCATTTTTTAACATTTGACATTTTTTATGTCTATTTTATAATACTGATGTTTTTTATAATTAAAAAAAATTGCTAATAAAAGCCACAAATACCATTTAACAAACATTAAAACAATTTAGGATACAGCTTCCTTGTTTCCTCTAGACTGTAGCAAAAAAACTTCGAAAATTATTTTTCCAACAGAAATAAATAGAGCCAACGTGCAAAATTTAAACTCACATAACTTTAAAATGTTTTAAGATGTTATTTTTAACACTTTTTTAACAGTGTTTTCATGTTCCTGTTATCTTACCTTACAAGGCATTTTTCTCTAGGGCGAGAGTTCTGGCGCACTCTGTATGTACAAAGTGAACAAAAAACTTTATTTAAAACAAAGAATTATGTAAATCATTTGCCTTCAGAAAATAATAATAATAAATAAATTAAAATTTACTTTTGATTTTTGAGTTATTCAATTTTTTTGTAAAGTAGCAACTTATTATATAAAATTTTTTCGATAAAAATTGAATAAAATGTATATAGTTGTAGCTTTTGTGAAAAAGGTTTTATAATGGATTACCTCTTANATATAAAAAGAAAATTCGATAAAAATTGAACAAAATGTAAATAGCTGTAATCTTTAAATCATAGCCTTTGTAAAAAAATATTAGTGGGTTGGCATCTTAAAAAATTAAAAATTTTACAGAACTAAAAAAACAAAAAATTAAAATTTAATATTCTTGTCACATTTTTCACGTCACATTTTTCTAAACCTTTATCAATCACTAATAAGATTTTTTCAAAAAATTGTTTAATTAAATAAACGTTTGGTTCCTCTTAAATACTACTGCCCCAGGTAGGTGATTTTTGAAAGGCTGTAACTCGGTCAAAAAAGATTAAATTTTTTTTTCAAAAAATTGTTAAAGGATCTTATAGGAAATATATGCCAGTTTTTGGAACATTTGAACTAGCCTCACATTTTCTGTGCGGTCATTGGTTGCTGAGATATCGATGATCGTTTTTCATTAAGTCAGATATCTCAGCTAGAAATTGACGTAAATAGAATAAAAAAAAAGCAAATTTAAACTTAATCCACAAGCTCTCCGGCTCATGCATTGATTTAACTAAAAAAAAATCCTCAAGTTCGTGGAACAAAACCAAAAATGAAAAAAAAATACAATTTTCTTGTGCTATTTTTTATAATTTTATGAAAATTTTTTCCCAAAAAATCTCAAAACTAGAAACTTAAAACTTTAAAATGTTCTTTTTTTACTTTAGATATGACCACTTTTCACTGAGAATCAGCCTTTCAAAAAACATAAAAAAATGTTTTTCTTAGCTTCCTTAATTTTTGTATTTGTTTACCTAGTACGTTTTTATTTTTTTCTATTTTGGAAATTTTTATCTCCTTTTTAAAAATTTTAACGTAAATTCAAGCACTTTTTTATTATTAAATCCAAAGGGCCGTTTACTCTAGAATTAGTTATATTTTTTTGGAAATTAATCTAATTGCTTGGGAATATTTAGAAATAATTAAAATTATTTTTGGATTGTTTGGAATTACTGGAGTTTTTCTGGAAGTATTTTTGGACTTTTCAGAGATTGTTTCTTTTCAAAATTGCGTTAAATTTCTTAGAACTATTAATTTGGGGTTGCAAAAACTAAGTTGAAATTACGGAAATTAAGTTTGAATCACAGGAATTAATTTGGATGTAATTATTGGTATTTCTGTAAAATTTCTTGGAATTGAAATTAGTTGGACACTTTTTTTAACTTAACAACCCTTCGATTAAAAAAAAGTAAATTATGCACATTGTAAACAACACTTTGCTTTCTCATTTGAGACGACGTTTTTCATACCTTTTTTCCGTTTTCGAAACACTTATTTTTTAAAGATGTACGTTAAATTTTACAACTAATAAACAATTGAAGACCGATGTTGATTTGGCATTTTATTTTTTATGTCACAGGAGGTGTTTTACGATAAATTGAACTAAAAAAAGTCAGACAATAAATACAAAAAGTATTTTATTTTATTTTTTTTGTTTTTAAATCAAAATTCAAATTACAGTTTTGCAAATAATTATTCTAAACTTAGATTTTATAAATTTATTATTAACGTAACTCAATTAGCTTGTTCCATACAGAGTGTTTACAAAATAAATTCTTTCTCTGACAATGCTTTTTAAATTTTTCCATTTTTATTTACACTGTTTCAAAAAACTTTCTCAAGGTATTTAAGCAGATAGTTTAGTAATAATGTAATGTACAGAGTGGTCCATTTAAAAAACTAGATGTTTTTTAACACAAGAGAAAAAATTTTATTCGACATTTTATTCACCCTGTATATGTTCTAAAAACTGTGACATCAATGTAGCCACGCACGGAAAGCTCTAATGCATCTAAAATTGCTTAAAGGTGATTATTTTGTGACAAATTACTTAATTATATCGAGGAAGTATTTTTTCCAACTTACTGTTTGTTTTTATATGGGAATAAAATTGATGCAGTGGTGTTTATGTTCGGTTGGTAAAACTGTTACAACCTACCTTAATAACCCATTACTTTTCGCCGATATCCTGACCCAGTCAAACACAATATATCAATCAATACTAGAATGAATCTATATATTTTTAAATTCTTTGATGTTGCTGTTATCAATCCTATTTACTCATCATTGTCGAATGAAATTACCATCCAGTGTTAAACAGTGAATAAACAAGCATTGTTTAACAGTTGGCCACAAATTAGCACTTTAGAAAATAGAAAAAGCGAGTTAATCAAGTCGATGTCCATTGCGGTCAAGTCTCGAGTTCTTACTCTTTAAACCTTTCGAGCAATTAAATTCGATGACAAAGCAAACTCTTGGAAACATTTGTAATTCCTCGGGGTATTTTTAGAACTGATTTTCTAGGAGAAATATGACATGCGATGCAAATAGAACCGGATTAAGGCGAAAGAATGAGGTTTGGTTGCCAAATTTTCTCTTTGAAGCGATAATCGAATAAATAGCCCTTTAGACGACATGAAGGACCAGGATGTGCGTCACACAATGGGCAAGGTGTGAGAGGTCAAAATCAGTCGTTTGCGAGAAATTCCGATACAAAATTCCAGTCAAAAAGAAGCTGAATAACTAAAGAAAATGTGTTTTTTTTCATATTTTGTAAATATTTGCACCGCTTGGTGTGAAATTATCGATTCTCGATTCCTATTATTGTCATTTCAGGTGCGTTTTTGATCCCCTACACCATAATGCTGATATTCGGCGGTTTGCCCCTCTTCTACATGGAGCTCGCTTTGGGGCAGTTCCACCGCAGCGGATGTCTCACGATCTGGAAGAGAATCTGTCCGGCACTAAAAGGTTAGTCTCTGATGATAAATCCGTCAATTCTTTTGAGTTTGAAGAAGAGTAAACAATTGTTGAGGTGATTGGACAGCTTTGCACAATGCACAATTCCCAACGGCGAGTCTATTGTTTGCATACACTTTTATGATTGGTGCTTGGGTCGATGGATGCACACAGTTTAGCCACAGGACCATCGTAATTACCTGAGATAAGCGACGTGACGGCAATTAGGGCTTGTATGGGCGGAGGTAATGGGCAGGTTTTGATTTATGGGCGATTTGGAACATTGTAGTTAGGCAACCAAAGATACACCGTAAGCTGATTGTGAGCTTTCACGTGAGGAACAAAGAAGGGAAAAATGTTGCCTGGGAGGAATTAACAAATTCGACAATTAAGAAAATGATGAAAACATCCCATGTTTTAAGTCTAAAAAAACTTATTTCGAACATTTTTCAGGATTCACACCTTCAAAAAAATATATTTTTTTTAAACTTTAGCGACCCGACAACGTTTAATTTAAATGACTTATTAAAAACATGTCGAATAGCTGGTGGTTTTAGGTCAGAAAATCATATTTCGAACCGTTTATAAACTTTAACAAAGTTTTTCCAAGTTTCACAATTTCAAAAAAAAATTTTTTTTCAAACTTTGGCGACTTGGCAAGGTTTTGTATATTTTTTCGAATTTCTAGGTAAAATGAAATTTAAATGAAATATCGTTAAAATGTCGAATAGCTCGTGTTTTACGTGTAGAAAACCATATTTTGAATTTTTAGACTTAATAATTGACGTTTTTGCAATTTTCTAACAATTCGTCTGGTAATGACTTTAAGTACTTTGTTATTTAATGAATGCCGCGCTTCTTTATAATTATGATATTTAGTCTTATTTATTTGAATATATTTTTTTTATATACATACTTTTTTGTAATTGGTGTAAACCGTAATAAACCAACACTATTAGGTATTATTTTTATTTTCGTTAAAAAATTTCAAAAAAAAAACAAACTATTCGAATTTCGAGGTGAAATGTAAAATTTTTTTAAAATATCAAAAAATGTCGAATAGTTAGTGTTTTCACGTCAGGAAAGTCAGATTTCGTCGAACGCTTTTCAGACTTAAACGACGTTTTTTCGATTTTTCAGAATTTACACTTTTAAAAAAATTCAAATGTTTTCAATGTTTATCGATCCAATAACATTTTTATATGCACTCTTCCGGATTTCTAGGTGAAATGAAATTTTAAATGAAAAATTAAAAAAAATATCGAATAGTTCGTGTTTAGCGACCCAACAACGTCTTATGCATTTTTTTCGAATTTCTAGGTGAAATAAAAATTCAAATAAAGTTTCAAAAAAAAGTCAAATAATCTGTGTTTTTACGTCTAGTAAACCATAAACGTTTTTTAAATGTAAATATAGGACGTTTTTTCGAATTTTTAAAATAAGCGACGTTTTTCGATTTTCCAACAATTTTCTTCAAAAATTTCAAAAAAATTCTAATTTCTTAAACTTCAACGATCCAACACCGTCTTAAGCATTTGTTGAAATGCGAAAATTTTAGAAATCATTTTTTTAAGCTGTAGCGGCCGAACAACGTTTTATAGATTTGTCCGAAATTCGGTGAAATGCAAAAATTAAAATAATAATAATAAATTTCACGTCTGGAAAAGCAGAACACTTTTTAGACACCTAAACGACCGATTTTTTAGAATTTACACTTTCAATAATTTCATAAAATTTAAACGTTTTCAAAGATATTGATTCAATCACGTTTTTATATACATTCTTCCGAATTTCTAGGTAAAATGAAATTTTAAATAAAAAATTGAAAAAATATAGAATATGTATTCGTATTTTTACGTCTAGTAAACCTTTTTTCGAACATTTTTTAGATCTAAAAATAAATAAAAGAAAAAAGACATTTTTCCGATTTTCCTGGATTGCACTATCAAAAGTTTCAAAAATTTGAATTTCTTCAAATTTAGTGACCAATTTACGCATTTTTTCGAAATTCTAGATAAAATTAAAGTTTAAATAAAATAGAGTTAATATGCCGAGTAGCTTTCGTGTTTTTATTTTTACGTCTAGAAAACCATATTTCGAACATTTTTTTAAAATTAAATAAAGCTGCTCCGATTTTCATGAATGTACACCATCAAAAAATTCGAAACTTTAGTTACCCAACGATTTTTTATACATTTTTCCGAATTTCTATTACAAAATTTAAAAAAATATATTCAAAATTCAGTGACCAAACAACGTCATGAATTTTTCAGAATTTTTAAGTGAAATGAAAATTAAATAATATATGAAAAAATATCAAGCTTTTTGATAGCTAGTTTTTTATTTTGAACTTTTTTTAGACCTAATAAACGATATTTTTTCGATTTTCCAACAATTTTCTTCAAAAACTTAAAGGATCCAACAGTCTTATGCATTTGTTAAAATGAGACAATTAAAAAAAATATTTTTTTTAACTGTAGCGACCTAACAACGTTTTATGCATTTTTTATGAATTTCCAAGTAAAATAAAAATTCAAATATTGAAAAAATGTTGATCCATATTTCAAACATTTTTTTAGATTTAAACGACGTTGTTCCGAGGATTCACATTTTTTAAATTTCAAAAAAACCTAAATTTTTTCAAACGTTAGCGACATCAATTTTTAGGGGAAATGAAAATTTAATTAGTTTGTGGTAAATTTTTTTAGACCTAGACAGACGATGTGTTCCGAATTTTCAGGTCCTTTACAAGAAAACGAAAAACATTATTGCTCGATTGTGACGTTTTCAATATTTTCTTTTTTTAGTGACCAATTTACGCATTTTTCGAATTTATAGATAAAATTAAAATTTAAGTGAAATAGAGTAAAAATGTCGAGTAACTATCGTGTTTTTATTTTTACGTCTAGAAAACAATATTTCAAACATTTTTTTAAAACTAAACGAAGTTGCTCCGATTTTCATGAGTTAATATACTATCAAAAAATTCCAAACTTTAGTTACCCAACGATTTTTTATACATTTTTCCGAATTTCTATTACAAAATTTCAAAAAAAAAAATACTCAAAATTCAACGACCAGACAACGTCATGAATTTTTCCGAATTTTTAAGTGAAATGAAAACTTAAATAAAATATGAAAAAATATCAAGCTTTTTGATAGCTTGTGTTTTTATG